GCTGCTCAATTAGCGTAGAAGAGCGCTATATAGTAAAACATCTGCCCATTTACCATTTTTACCATTTTTGCAGCACAAAGACACCCAAAGATAATTTAAAAAGTGCTTCAAAGGGAATACCTATATTTAAGCGTAGTCTCCGAATGGTTGGATTTATCCGAATGTCACACATAAAAAACAGCGGGGATAATAAAATCTGTAAGTGGAAAAACTAAGTAAAGCTAGAACGAACTCTCCACCTAAAGAAAAGAGTAAAAAAAAAAATCTGGCACTAGAAGTATCACATATAAGCTGGACGAGGACGCCAACAACCCATCAGCCTTGAGTGTTTCATCTGTCGAGAAAAGTTGGCTAATGCTAACATAGTGTCAAGCAAGCCGAAGCGCCACTTGGAAACCAAACAGCCCTTCCGAGGGAAATTTGGCCCTAGAAGAGTTCTGGATCGGAACCAGAGGCATCAATTTAGTGGATCAAACAAATTGAAAGTGCGACTCGAGCAAGCTGAGAGTCATTTATTGCAAAGAACAGAGAAAAAGCCTCTCGTGTAATAGTGAAAGAATGACTGCATAAACATGAAGGTGTAATGTTACGTGCAGATGCCAGAAATATACAAGAATGCCAATATCTAAGCGTACAATCAAAATAACTCATGAAGTAGAGGCAAGTTGGCGCAAATATGAATACAGGTGGTTGAGCGGGTAAAGAAAAATATAGAAAAGGCAGATGCTGCTGCAACTAGGACTTTATTAAAGTTTAAAAAATGTTTTCTTTATAATTTCTTGACTGACTAACACCCTATAACACGTCTAAAAACACGTAAAATATTATTTGCAATTTCCCAGAGATCAAGATGACATTTTCAAATTGTCAAGTCCCCAGGCTGGAGATATGTCTGCTTGATAAACGACCTAACCTCTGTTTGACGGATAAACAAATGTGTAATAGAAACACTGCACTAAACTTTAATCCAAACCTAATCATCCTAACCTCAGTGCCGATGGCTTCAAACTTAAACCGATCCTTGAAAAGACAAAAGCACACAGACGCACATAAGTGTGAACAATCAAAAACACATACACCTACCTGATGGCGCAGTCACATGACCTCCAGTCACCGTTATCTCTATCATCCATTTTGTACTACGATCACGGACTCAACCCCAAGAACTGAACAGATGGGACTGCGTCTGTGTTTGTGTGTGCGCGGATATGTGTGAATACGCACGCATCTGTTTGTGTGTTTGTCTGTGCGTGTGCGTTAAGATGCTTGAAATGAAGATCAGTCCAGCAGCAGAATTGCTTACTGTCATTCATGCCCTTTGCACATGAACACAAACACTTCAACGCACACAGACACACACACACACACACACACACACCTGCCTTTATTAAAACGTCACATTCAGTGAATATACTGTGCGCTGTCATGCTGTCTGCTGTGAATGGAACGGCTGCGTATTTACAGTGAATTGTAAATCCTGCCGAGCACTCAGCTGTCAGAGTCTTATGAATTGCTAATATGTTGTATCTCGCACTGCCGATCCCCCTCTATCTGGCCCCTATCACTTTCATTGTGCGCTGAGCAAAAGTGAGGCAAGGAAAGAAAAAAAATCTAACTTATAAAAGGAAATAAAAGGTGGAGATAAAGGACACGATGGCTTTAATGAAAACCTACAACACTGTCATGAAGTATCATTTATAATGAACACGTGCATTGATTTTATTACTTATAGTAGTGCTGATTACATTTTATTTTGACTACACTGCCATTGAACCATTTACCACAGTATCCTCTGCTCTATTTAATCATTTATGTGAGCACATTAGCAGCACCAGACTGCACCAAGAACAATCACACCTACTTCAGCAGGATACTAATCAAGATGTGTCTGATACTGCTGGGAATCTCTCTGAGCTTTTGCATCACATACCTGCTTTCTGCTGTATATCCTCTTTATGCATATTGAATTTAATCACATTTTTGACCCCACAATTCTTAAATGGGCCATTTAAAGTGAAACATACACTGCAGACAAAAGTGGAATCAGCATTACGGAGAAAATCCCTGTAAAAATCTAAATTCTGCCACCTTGCCATGCTTCTTTGGCTTCTCATCCTTATCACAGAATATGTATACTTGGTAGCTTTGCCCTGAATAGTCTCTCTGTGAATATTATTCGTGATATAGTAGACATTTATGTGACAATGAGACTTTATCTCAGACTTTCAAGCTGATGACTATAAGACCTAATTATTATCAGAATGTGTTGGAAACCCTAAAAACCATAAGAAAAATCACATTCTTGTCTTGTTCTTTTCCAACATTTAACTCAACTATCACCATCTCTGGGAAACCAAACAATTTCTAGTAGTTCTAATAATTTGCCGGCATATTTTCCAAGTCATATGTAGCCAAAGATGGACAGACAGGTTGGAAAACGTGGAATCACCCCTCTTTTCTCTCTTCTTTGTGCCTGTTTTTTTAGGCTAATCTTTCTTTCACTTTGCCTGTGCTTGATTTCCTATATGATTATTCCTCATTAAGATAATCAAAAACAGCACCACTAACCTTATCAGCTATCAGCAATGCCACCATCAGAACAAACCTCTTTCTTATCTTACACTATAACCTTTATATTCTTTATTTTAGCACCAAATATAGGGAACAGAGGAAAAAATAATAACCTGATTCTGTACTAACGGTAAAGTCTTGCAACAGACACACATAGAAACCCATTCATGCACAATTACATGCATTTGTACACACATACAGGTGCGGAAAAAGTAGACACCTTTTCACTAATATAGCTTTCATTGCACAGTGGCCGCTCACACCTCTGAGTATAGTGACAAATGAGGAGCTCTGGAAATGTAGACAGATCAGACGCACACAATTTCTCCTCACACACTTGCGCAAACGCACACATACAGACTCAATAACTCACACAGCTGGGAGCAAACACGTAAGAACATTAATGTATCGCCATATACAGGAGGAATCACCCACATATGCTAACACACATGGAGCGCAGAAATGCAGAGCACAGCAGGTGGCAGATACAATGTTTCCCATCCCATTGTTTGTGTTGTATTTTGTGTGTATCAGTTTAATCTGACTACACAATTTCAGGCTGATGAACAGGTAGGTTTCATCTTTGCAAGCACTGCGTACAAGTACTTATACAGCCACCTCTGCAGTCGTTCAAGGATATAACTGAGGAGAATTCACACGCAGAAGCATTTAAGAAACTGATCTTTAAACAAAATCATCTTCAAGTTACAGCTTTTCTTATACTAAACACACAAAGCAGACATAGAAAAGTGCATAAAGGGGAAAGAGGGACGATACAGAACTGAGAGGGAAGTGTATTCATTTTAAATGAAAGGGAAAAAAGGAAAGGGCGAGGAAACTGAATAAGACATAAAGCAAAGCTTATAATGAGAAGAGGAGAGTGCAGGACATATCGTTGTTTCACAGACAAAACATGAAAAGGGGAAGAGAGGAGAAGAGGAAACTGATGAGAGAAGGAGGAGGCGAAGGAGGAGAGAGATGGAGGACCAGGGTTTTTCTCTACTTACAGAATCTCCAGATCGCGCAGCGCTCGGAAAGCTCCATCTTCGATGCAGCTGATGTGGTTGCTGTCCAGTTGCCTGCACCGCGCACACAAACACACACACACAGACACACACACACACAGATGAGACAGAGATGGGAGAGAGTCAGGCGCAAGTCTGCAAGGTCCGCTCAGCTGGGGGAGGGACTAACAAAAGATGGGTTGCTTGAATGAGAGTGTGTGCATGTGGATGTGTGTGAGGTGATACCCAAGTAGTGGGCTTAAGGTAGCAGGTAGGAGACACCGGAGTTAACTCTCTCTCTCGCACATGCGCTCACTCACACACACTCTAGGAATATCAAGTCCAGATGATAGCACAAAGCTAAGGTTAAGTCTCTCACCTCAGTGCTGATATGGGCAGCCCTAAGGAGGAGAGGAGAGGAAAAGGAGAGCGCGAGAGAAGAGACCGGTGCGCTGAAGTGGCCTGCCTGGCATCAGCCTATCACCTCCTTCCCCTGCCGCACGCCCAGCGCACACTGGCCACCGGGAGAGAGAGGGGCGAGAGAGATAGGCGCAATAAAGAAGAGAGCGAGCGAGCCATTGCTACTAAAGCCCACCCTGCTTGTCTGTTCTGTAAATATTAATTGCATCTCTCCTCTCCCATCCTCCTCCTCTCCCTCCCCCCATGTCCTCTTTTATTCTTTTTTCCTCTCTCTATAGTGAAAGAGGGAGTAATTTCATTACATTAGGCCAGCCAATCCATTAAGGGCCTTTTACCGGCTCTGTCACTGAAACAATTTCATTAAAAGGAAAGCCTCCGTAAATCAACCTACAGTCACGACTCTGCCTCTTGTTCCCATTCTCCTTCCTTCCTCCCTCTCTCTCACTAACTCCTCCATTTCCAGGCTTGCTCGACGACTTGCTCGCTGGACTACCAGATGCACCCTGTACCCCACTGCCATCCATCCTTTGCTTTTACTTTAATTTGCTGGGCTCTAGGTATTCAGCTCCCCTCCCCGCCAACATCGTCCACCCCTCATGAACCCAGCAACCCTGAAAAGTCCACTTCCTCCCTTCCTTCCTTACTTCCTTCCATTCCTCCAACCCATTCATCCCTCTGCCCCTCCTACCTCATCTACAGGAGAGTATGGGTGGACTGCAGATGAAAATACACAAAGGGCAGACATTTAGAAGTGTCCTCATGTCCCTTGTAAGTGGTATTTAACCTATTACACACACAAACACACTCAGACAGGTGGACACGGGTAGATTAAAACACAGCACAGAAAGATTAAAACACATACAAACTGACAGAAACACTATGAAACTATTTATTGTCTGATCTTGAGCCACTACAACCGTGGGGCACCCGTGGCTCAGGGGGTTGGGAAGCGCATCTGTAACCGGAAGGTCGCCGGTTTGATCTCTCTGTCCTGGTCGTTGTGTCCTTGGGCAAGACACTTCACCTACCGCCTACTGGTGTTGACCAGAGGGGCCGATGGCGCGATATGGCAGCCTCGCTTCTGTCAGCCCAGGGCAGCTGTGGCTACAACTGTAGCTGCCTCCACCAGTGTGTGAGAGAGTGAAAATAGTGGCATTGTAAAGCGCTTTGGAAACCAAACAATTTCTAGTAGTTCTAATAATTTGCCGGCATATTTTCCAAGTCATATGTAGCCAAAGATGGACAGACAGGTTGGAAAACGTGGAATCACCCCTCTTTTC